TATTTTTTTACAAATGCTTTCACAATAACAGCTCCGAGGAGCTGCTTTTGCTGGTTCCCAGATTTCATGAATTTAAGCGTTCTACCAGGCTAGCATCTCCCTCACACCCTTTCACTGTCGAAACTGTTAAATATAGCCGTCTCTTCTACTCCAGTAGCTTCATGTCTTGCACTTATCGACTGTGGAACACACTCCCATTTTCCTGTTTCCCTGATAGTTATAATCTCCAACTATTCAAATGTAACGTTAATCGACGTCTCCAAATATCTTGATCTATCCCCTAACCTTCTCTTCATCCTTTCCTCTATCACTCCTATTTTCTCTAGCTCCAAATCTCTGTAACCCCTTGCGTGCTATTGGCTTCCCGCCTTACTTGGGATGAAACGCTTATAAAAAAATAAATATAAAAAATAAAAATAAAAATATAAAATAAAAAAATATTACCAAACATCATTACTCTCCAGAAAAACAAAGTGTTGGATCATTGTTATAGCTGTACAAGAAGAGAAGGGGTAAGCATAGTTGTGAAAGAAAAGCGAGAAAGTATGAAGATTTGAAACAGAAATTTAAGTTGTTCCTATTGTTGGAGACGCTCTTGAATAAGTGACGGACAAAATCCCAAATTGTCTGTCATAAAATTGGGACTGATTCGAATTGTGGTGCTTCAGAAAATGACGCTGTTTGGAACAGTCAGGATTCTGAGAAAGGTTTTGTTGCTGTAGTGATGTGAAGAAATGTCAACCTCCATGATCATATGTTATAACACGGATCGGATCGTTAAATTAAGATATAAGTTCTGCTTTAAAAAAAGAAGTTAATAATAATAATAATAATAATAATAATTTCTTCGATTTGTTCTTGGTAGTCACTGAAATATTTTAGAACACAAATACAGAGGAATAAAAAAAATAAACAGATTTTACTCATGCGTCGTATTAAAAAGCAAAACACAATTTTCTATAAGATACGGATGACATCAAGAGTCGCAAGAGAGCAGCCGTAGAGAAGCTTGAAGACTTGCTGCAAAAGCAAAAACGCATGGAAGTTTGCAAAAGAAAATAAACAAGATGTCCGCCGGAAGTCAAAGCAGCCATTTGCAAAATGTAGCCATGTGCCGAAACAAAATGGCGAAAGGAAGAATAAAAATGTTGCAAGCGTACGGAACGAACTATTATTATTTTTTTGCGCTTGTCTTATGTCGTAGGAAACTTTTAAAGTAATTATATAAAAACTTTTGCAGTTTTCCTTATCTTTTCTTTTTTTTTTTTTTTTTTTTTGAAAGAAAGTTAAAAATGTAACAACTGAAAACTTGAGCAGCATTTGGAAGCAAAAGAATTGCTTGCGGTTATTCCAAACAAAAAAAGTTAAAGTAATATTGATCATGTGCGCACGTGTGTATACATACACATATATCCAATCACACACTCTCTCTCACACACACATATAAAATAACATTATATATATATATATATATATATATATATATATGTCTCAAAAGAGTACGTATGCTAATAGTGAAGAAATCATTGATTTGTCGCAATAAATATTTATTCATCTTAAATATTTTCCTTGTTAATGAACATAATTCAATCACGAAATTAAATGTTTTAGATTATATAACAAACTGACCGATATAGCCCGTCATTTTAGGCAGGATAACTGGATGTACAAAGTTCCACAGTTTAAGGGAAACATTCTTGGCCGGCTCAGTCATTTTAGCTTACTACTACCCATTCATTGTTTCCTTCTTTACTATTCTTTCTATACCCTTCTCTCTATCTCACTTTTTAAAAGAGTTTGACCATCCGTCACTTTTCTCCTTCTCCCTCTTGTTTTCCCTCCACACTGTCAATCTAATATATCAGTCCGGGGTGTTGTCTCCATTTACTAAGAGATTTCGATCTGAAGAGATGACTATATAGATACTCACGGAATAAATTATATCCGAAATGAATCTGTAAGA